TTTGTTCATCCTCTCTTCATTAAACCTTTAACCGCTTGAACCTTACCATTCACAGCAGCATTCATTAGCTGCGTTCTACCTTTTACATCTTGGGAGTCAACAGAAAATTCAAGAGAAAAGCTGACTAAAATCATACTATTTGAACAGAAATTTGAAAATAAATGTTAAAAGAAAGGCGACAAAAACAATAACAATAATAATAATAATAATAATAGTAATAATAATGGAAATATTTTCACAGGGGAAATGAAAGCATTTTAAAATATCACTCAATCCTTTTCCAGGTAGATACTCAGTTGCTCAGAAACTGACATTGATCCACAGAAACAGGGGGAGCACGATTTTTATTTATTAAAGAGGGGTGGACAATGAAAAGCTATACACTTCTGAGGGGAGTGGGTCGTCTGTGAAACATGCTTTAATCTGATCGTACAGGAAGTGTATCACTGAAAGTACAATTTTTATGACTTTGTTGAGACTTAAAGATAATTTTTTTTGGTCTAGTTGCTGGGGGAATAGAAAGTACTTTGGAACAATGGGGCTCAGCATGCTGTTGATCAGTGCCTTAAATTCCATGTAAAACTATGATTAAAAATCAGCATGATCTGAATTTAGAAACAGCAGAATAGCTTTTGAAAACCTGCAGAAGCTGTAACCACCAAAGACTAGCTGCTCACCATCAGTAACCCTTATTTGAAACTCTGGCTCAAACTGCACTCTAAATTGAATACTTTTCAAACCAAAAATCCCCTTTGTCTGAAATGTTTTGTTTTTTAAACACAGGTATCTTGTTCCCAAACCAATTAACTGATCCATTCATGCTCCAATTCAAGCACAAACAAAACCTTTCATCGGCTTTAAACCATTTCCTTCCCAAGATCTTAATAGTAATTCTCCTTACTGCCTCACACAATTTTTAGGATATTAGTTCAGAGAATTTGGTATTGGATCAACTGCTAATCCCCCACTTGACTTTTTCTTAATTCTCTTCACTTGTCTGCTTGATATTGTATTACAATTGTAAGGAGAAATTCTGTTTTGGTCACCAATGGAAGTCAAAGGGTTAAACAACAATGCACAGGTAAATAACAAGTCAGTTTTAATAGCATGTTATTATTTTGATAGTGTCTTTATTGTCCATGAATACACATAGAAAGATCATAATCTGACAAAACCTGTCACGAGTGAGAAAATTACTTTATGGGCATTGCGTTATGTCACGATGGAGCGTGACATTTAATAGTTTTTGAATTACTGACCACTTTTGATCGTCTTTTCTAGCTAATTTCAAATGGTAAATTAAATAAAGCCTTATTTCAACTTAGATCTCATGCACTGACTATCAAACAAAGTTGTCTTCCTTAATTTAGATAATATGTCTTGCCAGAGTAAAAGATGGCTAAGTAAAGGCAAAACCGCTGACTTAGGGTGTGGATAAAAATCACACTTAGGAGGTGGATGGGGGAGGATGAATTCTAAGGTGGAATCTATTTAATCGTACCATTAGTAAAAGGGGGAGCCGCTTAAATTTTTTCATTTTTTTCATTACAGTTGACCGCTTGAACGAAGTAGTTCAGCGCAGCTTTCATCAGCTGCTTTTTGTCTGTTGCATCTCGAGTCTACAGACAACCTAAAAGGAAGCGTGGAATCCATCTTGGTAACGTCACTGTCTCTCTTAGCAAGTGTAATTGATTCAATTCCCTGTTGTCCTTGTTCACAGAGGTGGCGCCTAAAATCGTAAAATTTTAAAATAAATTAAGGCAACATATTTATGCAAGAAAGGTGTAAAAAGCATAAGATTTATTAAGAACCTGGAAAATAATAGTTTCGGAGAAACATTAGGTGTGAAGAAAATTTGCTATCTGTATTCACGAGTAGCGAGGTTTTCCAATCGATCCGTGAATCTCATAAGAGAAACTTGGAGTCTCTCCGGCCATGATTAAGTGTGTCGACGCGTATGATACGAGAGAATTACGCACTTAGTGCACAAGCAACAAGGGTATGGATCGTTCTACTAAAGAGCACCGCACGATGTGCTGGAACAATAAGAGTATTTCTCGTTCAAAAAGCACTGCACGAAGTGCACGACACACCACCATGCCAGCAGACAAAACCCAAGTATCCCTAATGAGATTCACGGATGAACGACACCAGCCGAGAATACATTAGACGATTCGTAAGGGTAACACGTCTGGTGAATATATCACACGAACCCTACGGATCGTGCGAAACGACGAAATCTACCATGGCCTGAAAGACTCTCAAGTGGTGAAAAAAGTCTCTTTAATAACATTCATGGATCGACACCACGATCTTACGACTCGTGAATACAATAGACGACTCGCGCGTTAGAAGTGTAAGACTCGTGGAACATTACAGATCATTACACGATCCGTACGTATATACGGATCGTACGGATCGACGAGTCACTTTAAATTTACGACTCGTTACGATCCGTGGTATTGGACTATCTTCACCAAACTTGTGAGTAAAAACAAAAAGGAAAAAAGTAGAAATTATGAGTGTCTACAGATAAATTGTGCTCTTCCCACCCAAATTGCTTTCATTATATTTCCGTCCTAAAACAAATTCTTGCCTCTTTTATGTTCCTTCGCAAACAAACCACACTTAAAGATTTAGGTTTTTTTTAAGAAGACATTCCCCTCACTGGATTTTACGAGATTTTCCCTCTAAACTCACAAGGATGCGTTCTTCGAAATTTCAATAAAACCATTCACGTACTGTATTAAACCTATTAAACCTATTCCTATTGATTAAACGTCATCATCCATTTCTGATCTATGTCACTCTGCGCTTACATTCAACAGTCGCTTCCAGTCGGTGATTAGTAATCAAATAATCAAGTCCAACATGAAAAAGGAACAAAGTAAAATGCCAATAATATCAAGACCTCTTATGGCAAAAAGAGGCTCTAATTGAAGATGATATGAGAAATTACATCTTAATCAATTTGAGTTTTAAAGGGATTAAGGCAAAGCACCAGAATATAGACCTCTCGGAACGTTTGAATCATGTACAACTGTACCTAAATCAGATGAATTTGAAATTAAAACAACAACAACAACAACAACAACAACAACAAAAAAGCCAATAAACGCAGTCATTAAATGAACCAAACACAGGCAAGACTCAAATGTTAAACAGGTTCAGTGCAGAGCTAAGTAAAAGAAAGCATCCTTTGCCTTCAGATTCAGCCCTAGTGAAGTGTGGGACCAGAGTGTTATATGGGAAAAAGGCTGACAAAATTATATACACACAAACATTTTGACAATTGATCCAAGTGCCAATTGACTGACCCATAAGCCATAAATAGATGTAGATAGCTATTTTTGATTAACATATTGTTCTATGTTTAAGAACTGACTCATTTCATT